TAACATGATTCTTACTTGCTGGTAGTAGATATATACACTCTAATAGGGCTTTTCTAGCTGTGAGGTGGTGTAGTAGTAAGAATCCTCTCCACATTTGAAGCTTAACACTAGGTGAAAAACTTACCTCCATTTGTAGCTTCAGCCTCCATTTATGAATTTTTATCCAAGTCAAACAAAAGAAAAAAGTTTGAAGATGCTGGAGAGATGTCTGGCCTAAGAGTCACAGTTGTCACAATGAAAAATGAGCCTTGGCTACACCTCAGGGCTATGTGCCTGACGTTTGTGGATGCAAGTCATTGTCCAAAGATGTCTGTGTCTGAGTTGATCTTTTTCCATTAAGAAGCAGTGCAGGGAGCTGCTGACATGATCTCACCCTGAGGTAGATGTTTCTAACTGGCAGCCACACCTGCCTTCTAGCCATCATCAGTAACAAGATTTTGGGGGATGCTGTGGTCTGAGTTTTGCTAAGATGGATCCCATACAATACAGCCATACTGCCACTACATTTCTGTCACTGAGAAACATGAATATTTACAAAAGATTGTCAGCTGAAAATTAGTTACTTGGAAAATCCCTGAGCAGCATACTGGAAAATGGCCCAGTTCCGAGCAGAGGGTCAGACCAGACAACTGCCAGAGTCCAGTCCACCCTCAGCTTTCTGAGGATGTTCACACCCAGTGTTTCTGGCTCTAAAGCAGGTACCCTTTCTCAAGGGTGAGAACCAAGGGGAAAGCTTTCTCTTGTAATGTGTGTGGGATTGCTGTGTTTGATCCTTAGCAACCAAACAGATATATAACATTTATAACTCAGTGACAGATCTGTGCTGCACAGTAAGCTGCCCAGGTGGACTCAAAACTTGTCACTGATTTTTGCACTCTTAATCTTCCTGTTTATTCTGCGCTTCATTAAAGTCAATCTCTGCTGGACAGACTGTCACTCAGGCTAGGCTGGTCCTGCTGTCTGCACTCTCTGGGGATCACCCTTCATCCTGATAAATGGTCTATTAGGAGAGCACGTGTCAGAGAGATACCCTTTGTGAAGCTAAATAGATTAGAGTCTCTTCCTCTGAACAGTCTCAGTGGAATGGGGTAGGCGTGATCATTAAAGTGGATTTAGAATGAGAAGATGCTATTCCTCAGGATAGAAATTACTCTGAGTTTACAAAGGTATGGATTAGTTATAGTAAATATATAAGGTGAAAGCCCCAGTGTTAGCATTTGCCACCAGAACAAATGCAGTGTGATGGTCTGGAAGTTGCTGAACTTTCTCAGGGTGTCCCCTTGGGAGTTTAATAGATCCTGCCTTTCTTTGTGCTTTTGTAATACATTTCTATAACTAGTGCAATTGCCAGCGTGAAGGAGCTGTACAAATTCAATATTCTTGCAGTGCAGCTTAGCAGCTGCAGGTACATTAGGACTGGTAAAATGACCAGTAAAGGGACAGGATTTCTGGTTCTTACAGACATCCTATCCCCCAGCTGTGGCATTGGGAGTAATTCCTGCTCTGTCCTTGACCCTCTAAACACATCAGGGTAACAGCAAGGCCAAAAAATCCCTTGCAAAAGCAAAGGCTGCCTTTGAAGTCACGTTTACAAGCGTGACTTAGTGCATGGCATCACACACCCAAATGCCTCTGCTCCATGTTCTGGTGCTGCCTTTACTTGGTGCAGGTTTCCTCAGGTGGGACTCATTGCTCAGAGTGCTCATGTTTCTTTCTCTCTGGAGTTTGGGTAGTGGTAGGGATAGGAAGATGAACTCAGTTGTTGCTCTGAGGTTAGTGGATGTTTAGCAGAGGTTGCCTCTGTTTTGCAGACCCTCAGAGGCAGCTTCAAGCTCTCAAAATTGTTTTTTTTGTAATTACTTTTTTATTAATTTTTTTCTCCTTCACTTTCATCTTCCCTTTCTCTGCATTACTAGGCGAGGGTGAAGGGAAAATGGATTCCAGGCTTTTCCACACAGCTCTCTGTGCCCTAAGCAGCCTTTTCCATTGGCAGCACATGTCTCCGTGTCTCTGGTCTTGAGCTTATTCCCTGCTCTGTGGATGTTCGGTGTTGCAGGGATGCCTGTGGGAAAGGAAAAGCCTGTGTAAAGAGTAGGCAGGCGAGATCGTGGTGCTTCTTTTTTGTTGCTTGAAGGAACATGCAGAAGCTCTGATTTTCACCCTTGTTGGAGCCAGTCCAACAGAAACATCTCAGTTCTCTTGGCACCAAAGAGAGTGGCAGGTCCTCATTGGTGGCATTTGCACCAAAAATGGGGAGGGAATGCTGCCAGAAAACTCTATTTTGAGAAGAGTGGCTATCACCTACGGTGAGGATAGAAAAAGATTATGCTGAGGAAGTTAATTTTAAATGAATTAAAGGAAGAGAAGCTCAGATTTTCTAGCAGCGCATCTTCCAGAAAAAGAAATCAAATAAAATAACAAAAAAACTTATAAATGGCAAATTCACCATTAGTTTCAATGAAGGATTAAGCAAATATGTAGGCTTTTTAATAATAGCAATAAAAACCTACAAGTATCATAAAAATATTCATGTTGTAAACTCATGTAATTGCTTGCAGTTATTGTTCCTAAATTGCATCTTGCCTTTTGCAACAGTAATATATAGTCTCTGTCTGCCTGGGAAGATTTGGTAGACAATGACTGCAATGATGGTACAAAAGTTGAAAGAGGTAATGTGGGGGAGTTCTGGAAGACTCTTTTCAGCTCTCGCTTTTGTTGTCATTTATTTAAATGCAAATCTTTCAGGGAAAAAAAAAAGTCCAAAATCTGATAAATATTCAATAGCCTTGGTGCATTCATGAATGTGAGGCTGAGGTTTTGGAAATGGTGAGTCACACAGAAACTTGTCCAGGGAAACAAGGCACTTCTGTGAAAGGAGGAGCAGCAAACTCTTAAATTAAGCCAAGGCCTAAAGTGTGTTTCAGTCTCTTCTAATAGTGAATTTTAAAGATATACTATGTAGGAAAATAGTCACTTTGGTCATTTTTAGGCAGACCTAGGCAGCACTGCATTCAGACGGCTGTAGCCAGTGCAGCCTCTGCTCCCAGGTCCAAGAAGGACAAGTGCCTGTGATGTTACTGTGAGAAAAGTAGGTGATTAGGAAGCCTAAGACCAGGTCACAGCACAGAGCTGGAGTCAGAATTGAGGGTGTAGAGGGTGGTGTCCAGGAATGTGGTTCTGCTGTGCTGTTTCAGGTTCTGGTTTGTCCTAGTAGAAGAGCTCTCCCCAGGCCAGGATCCTCTCCCAGGGCTGGACAGAGTCTGATGCAAGCAGGTGCCAAAGCTCATTTTCTCTTTCTGTTCCTTGGTGAGTCAGTGTTTGTACGCTGTGACTTTGTCTCCCTGAGCAGCATGCCCCAAAATGTGGCCTGGGGAGACCCTTCTTTTCCTCTGTCAGTCCTGAAGAGGGGTATGAGAGACAGTTCCTCCACCTGAACAACGTTATGGAATGCTATGAATGTGTTAATTCTCTAATTTATTAGGGTTAAAACTTACTTGACCTATTTAAAAAATGTTGCTGTTTCCAGGGTATCAACAATTTAAAAGGTACCTGAAAGAGACCTGCAGAATAGCTTGGGTGTATGTCATGACTGTCATGTTATTTCATGGCTTTACATTTAAGCATCTTAATTACCACATCTCATTACACTTAGAAGATTACCAACTAGAACAGGTTCAAAACTTTGTGTAAATGAAATCTGAAGAGCATAAAGGGAATTCACAGGAAACATCTTTTGTTTGTAGGTAGAGATGACACAAAAATGTGTGGTTTGGTATTTGTTGTATGCTGGTATTGTTATTCTTGTCTATTTGTTATGTTTCTGCCATAGTTCATTTTGAGTTCATTACAGAGCTTTGCCTTACAGTATGACATGACTAAACTTATGTTTAGCATTATTATTATATAATTTGCTTGTAAGCTCTGCCTGTTTTATTGCTGAACTATACATTTTTAGCAATATTATTTAGAAAATAAATGTCAGCAAATGTCTAGGATTTTTTCAGGTTTTACTCAGATCAATTTAAACTGTTCAAATCTTAAATAAAGTAAAATACAGCTTAGTAGAGCCTATAAATGTAACATTAATATTCATTTATCACTGACTAGGACTGGCCAGAAAATTACTATTAAGAAGGGTTTCCATACATTTTGGGATGAAAATCATATCTTTTATTCATGGCTGCTGGAGGAAAAAGGAACAAATTCTCTATCTGATGCAGCTGAGGGCATGGAAGATGGATCTTCTATATCCAAATCCACTGGCTATTTTATTTAAGATATATTACACTTTATAGTCTACACTTCCACATCCCACTTTGAAGGCATATTTTGATTATTATTGGTTAGCTGTTTTCTTGCTTTCAGTTGAGTACAAACTGCTACAGGGACTCAGGCTTCCGTCCTCAAGCTGAAGGTGTGCAGAGAAGGATTTGCACATGGAGACTCCCTTCTACACCTTAGGTCTGGCCTGGCTGGACACCTTTCCCATCCTAGGCTGTGTGCAGAGTGACAAAATGCTTTGCCATGACTTGCTAAGGGAGCCAGGCAAGGTGGGTGTTTGCTGCCTGGAAGGCAAAGACAGCAAGTTTTTCAAATACTGAATAGCCAAATACTGAAATTCAGAAGAAGAAAGCCCCCCCGCCCCCAATAAGAAATTAAATAAAAATGCATAGTCCTTCAGGAAACTATCATGCATTGCATAACAAGTAGATAAGAATGAATTGTTCCTTTCAAGTCTGTTTTAGAAAGAGGAAAATACTTAGAAAGTGAATCTTGCAGTCTAGATAAAAGCAATTTTGTTTTATGCTGCTGCCAGTGAAGAGTCCTGCTGCAGTGGTAACTTGAAAGTCAATAAACATGAATTATTTACATTAGTTATTTAGAAGACAAAGGATAAAAATAAATGAATATTAAACCAGAATTAATCCACTGTATGAGCACTAAGGAATGTGTATGTGTTCCTAGCAAATTGATTGTGACATCCATTTGGAATCTCAGTTTACATACATGAAGAAGGTGTAAGTGAATGTTTCATCATCTAATTGTAAATACATTTTAACTAAAATGCAGGAACTAACTGTTAAGGATGAAGTAATTTAAATTATAATATCTATAGTATATAAAAACAGACATGTCTGGCCAGATGATGTGAGAATAAGGAGTGACTGGATTTCAAATAAGTAACAAGCAACTAAAAATTATGTGCTGTGGGATTCACCTGACCACCACACATTAAAACAACCTGCAAAGAAGAGATGAGGCAATTTAAGAGAAAGGTTTCTATGTTGGAGGAGCAATGAAAAATCTCATTTAACAGAGATATTGGGTTAGTCATAATTTTTGCTTCTTCTGTCTGCAGAAATCAGGTCTCAACAGAGCTCTTGGATCCTGGAGAAACCTGATGAGAGATGTCATTCCAAACCCACTGACAGAAAAGGAAGAGGAGTAATAGTACTCACATGTAAATAAAGTGAGGCAAGCCCTGGAAAATGCTTCACAACAAGAGGAAAAATTGAGGAATTAGGAGTGCTTGAAAGAGTCCTTTGTAGTACAAACACCTGTGGGATGGGAAGAAAATACTAAACAGGTTATGGAGATCAGAGAGGGTAGAGGTAATTCCTCTGAAAATACTACCATGAGGTTCTTGAACCACAGTTGTATCTCTAGTAAACATCTGAATAGATAGGGAGTCAAGAAATGGTTATTTATTAGCTGAAGCAAAAAGTCAATGGGTACTGCTTTCAAACATACATACTATCCGAAGGGCAAGCCTGTGTAAAATGTTTTCCAAATGAAACTGGTTAAAATTTCAAAAGTATGGGTGGTTGGGAATGAGAATTTCCAGCGTATCAGACAATAGAGGAAAAGTAGAAACTGCTCATCTTAATATATCTTGTAAAATTCTATAGGTCACCCAGTTTCAGGCTGTGTGCCCTTATTAAAGCACCAAGCATGTTTCTGGACTACAGTAAAAGCACAGTTGTTCAACAGTGGTGTTTATCTGTTAGTTCAGCACAGTGAGCACTGATTCTTGTGTGAGTGACAGAAAGGTTAAGTTAGAGATCTCCTGAGGAAGGACTTTGTTAGCCATAGGGGACAAAAGGAGGAGGAAAAAAAGGACTGACAAAGGTTGTATACAAAGAAGCCTTTAATGAAGATTTGCCATAAGGCAAGATAATAGTTCTTGAGTGTTATGAACTGCAGAAACTGCATGAACACATTATATTTTAAACACTTAATCTGTTTTACAAACTATGTACATTCTTCTGCTAAATAAGATGAATTGGGATTCAAGAAGCAGCACATCCTGACAAATCTTCTCCTGAAGGCATCCATTAATATAAATCAACAGTAGCAATTTTGTTTGATCATTTATTTGCAAGAATCATTAAGGTTTATTAGCATAATTATTCCCTGTGGGACTTCATGTCACATAAATGAAAAATGGCATTATCAATATTTAAAAGATAAGTATGTAATGTTCAGAGTACTTAAACAGTACTCTGCAGGTGGTGTCCAGCTGTAGCAAATTAGATTAGGTTTGATTTCTGAATTCTAGAGATATAACTAGAGACAAAACTAGGTTCCTTATTGTGCAAGGTGTAAGCACAGAGTCACACTCTGTAGTTATTCATTACTGTACGTGTGTGGAACACTGTTTTCTGATTTCAAGAAAACAATCTGACTTAAGATACCAAGGGGGAAGCGAATGTTGCTCACTGGTGGAAATCCTTCTATAATCTTGTTTTCTTATTTTTAACAGTTCTATAATATGATCTCAAATTTTCTCAATGAAACAAGACAGCTTTCTCCCTCATCTCAGTGCAGACATGGAGAGAGGCCCTGCTTTCCTGCAGGAGCTCTGGAACCAAAATCAGCTGGTGCCTCTTTACCACCTGTGATCATCTTGGTACTACCAGTGAGCTTGGCTTGCAGGAGCACTTTTTGAATGAGACATGAGGATTGATGCACAGCAAAGCCCGTGGGTAGTGCTGTGGTGGGAGCATTTCACTGACAGAAATCTGTGGGCTTTGTCTGGCCCACAGCAATGCAGATCTAATTCATCGCTTCACCGAGGAATTTTTGTTGGAGCACGAAATTGCTGTTTTAGCAGCAGCAAAATCAGTAACCACGGTGTTCTCTTCTCCTCTCTAAAAGCTCTTGAATAAAACATCAGTGATTTTACTAAACATGCCCCAGGACTCCTCCAGACACATCCTTGTGTGGGGCAGGGAAGCAGAGCCTCCACCAGCCTGGGGCTCATCACGACACTCTGCCAAGGCTGCTGGGCAGGAGGATATGCCAGCATAAGAGATGGATGCAGGCAGCAGAATGACTTTCACCTTGCTCTCAGCCCTTTCTGGGACTGATGTTTGTTTTCTGTTATTGCCCTTCAGTTGCCCTTTCCGTTGGTTGGCTTGAGGTTATGGCTACAGATTAATTTGTTTAATACTCTGTTGTTGGCAGCAGACATCTTTTTTCTTAGTATTCTGCTCTTTGCTAAGCTCCCCTTTGGAGCTCTTCAGCTTTTTAATTATTCACAAAAGCTGAACTGAACTCTTTGGAATTAATTGTGTTTGGTGGTGTGTTACAGGATTGAAAGGGGTTCTGCTTATTTCTAAGTACATTTCCTGGTGCTTTCAAGTCTGCACTTAAGTTAGAACACATGGCCACACCTGGACTCGGTGCTTCCCAGGGAGTGGCAGTCCCCAGGAACCATCTCACCCTTTTGCTCAGTGTATGCTCTTTTATGGGTGCTGCTATAGGAAGAGTAGTAAAGCTTAACACTTAATAGCTTGTTTTCAATATGTTATTCAGCCTTGGAAATTACAAATCTTCAGTCCAGAGGTGTAAGTTCTGATGGCATTGCATACAAAATACTGAAAAGGAAGCCATGTTCAGTGCTTAATGACAGCCAAAATCATGGGGGGATGATCACTGCGTGGAGGCCATGACTGGTTTTAGTTTTCCCTCTGCCCATTCAGTTGGGCACTTTGGCAGATGAGCTTGCAGGCTGGTTACACAAATACCTCTACACCCCTCACAGAAGAGACAAGGATAGGCTAAAATAGAAAAAAATCTAATCTTTCCTTTCAAACAAAAAGCTGCAAGTGAAGCTTGTTACCTTGAAGGACACTTTTTGACAAATAGTTGTATAAGAGGTCCCATGTCAAAATCTCAGTAAATAGATACTTTTTAAAAAAACTTTTACAAACAGAACTTTCATACTCATAAACCTTTAGATTCTCTTCTAAAAGTCATTTCCATTCGGTTTCCCAAGTAAGGACTCGGTCCTTTTGCTTGAACATAGGATATCTGGTCTTTTCCATTGGTTATGATAGGTAAGGGATAAAGGTCTTGCTGCAAAAAACAGAAGTGTCACTATAGCAGTGTTTTACAATATTCTTTGCAGAAGAACTATATTTGCTGTCCCTGGACAAGGTATTTAAAAAAAAATTCATAGAGGTGAAGCAGAAAGCCTGATATTCTCAGCAGAAAGCACTTGTGTGTTCCTCTGAGAAAACTGAGTCCTACAGCTAAATACTTATTAAACCCACATTTGTGTAATCAGAAACAGATGTAATTTTGTTGAACGTATTTGAAGCACTGAGTATTTTTGTTCCTTGTAATATTTTAGTTTAGAGTCCATAATGTCATGAGTAAAAGATAGCTTTTGCCTACTGCTGCTATGGGGCATATTTTCCCTACTACTGAAGGATAATTAAAAAAGAAAAAATTAGTGCTAAGTCTTTGTTGACAGTGATAGCCCCTTAGCTGCTAAATCTGCTGTCCCATCCATCACTAATCTAAAGCAAAGCAAGCATTAGTTTCTCTGTGACTTATCTAGGTCCTTAGTAGATCAATAGCACAGCTCAGATGTTTCAGTCTCTTGCCTGTTAATTCACATTTATCTTTTCATCCAAAGAAGGTAAATTACCTCACAGAGAAGCTGTGCTATCCCCAATAGTGGTTTATAATGTTGCAAAGTCAGCATGACCCACATATCTTATCTCAGCTGGAATGCATTTGTCACTGTCTCGTGTTATGATCATCTGGTAAAATGCCCTAGAAAAGAGATAAACCTGCAAAATGGCTTCACCATTTTCATTTAATGACCTTTCCTGTTATATGTTCCTATATCACCTTCAACTGAAACTGCTAAATAAAGGGAACTTACATTTTCCCTTTAATGCTCCATTTCATCGTTTTTACCATTAGCACTTCTCAGCAATCTTCACTTTGCTGTCAGGAGGTCATTAGTGGGTGCTAATACTGAGTTTAAGAACGGACTCATTTATTAAGAAGCTCTGTTAATACTGAGAAAGGACTGCTGCGTTTAACTCTACATTTGTACAGTTGGCTGCTGATTACCTAAAAGCTTTTCAGGCTCTAGGAGGGTTTAATGCTCTTAGGGAAAAGAAATGACAATCAGGTCACTGACCTATACCTGTAACCAGGCTGCTGCAAGAAGAAATGCTCTATGCAACAGGAGTTTGAAAGCAGTTATGCAGCTGGGACTCATTCCTTTCCATACTACAGGAAGGCAGATATTTCATTATCTGTTATTCTAAAAACACTATAATGGAAAGACAACTTAAATATAAACACACTGATTTATAAGAAGTCTGACATAGCTGGTTGCTGAAACAGTGCATTTTTGTTCTCCTTTAAAAGAGCAGAGCAACTCTGCCTGGACTGAACTCTGCTCTGCAGTGTCAAATTCTTAGGTCTTTAACTAGGAATGAATCGGTGCCATCAAGGAGCTCTTCTTTTGACATGAGGAGAAGGTAGGTCTGTTTTCAGCTCAGTGCTCGATTTCTTCCCAAATAAGAAGGTGCAAGGGAGGCTCCAGGGAGCAGTGCCTTGCTGTGATTGCAGGGCTGGGAGGAGGAGCAGCAAAACCAGGTGCTTCCCTCTCAGGTGGAGGAGGAGCACCCGACTGAGATGACCTTGATGGGGAGGAGAACAGGATGTGCCAAGAGGGCCTGGCACAGAAATGCTCGGCCAGGTGTGGGTGAGCAGAGAACCAACAGGGAGGCGCAGTCAGAGCCCAGGGGCCAGAGAGCAGCAGTGGTTACAAACTGAGCTTCTGGCTGGATGTAAAGGGAGGGAACAAAAAAAATTAAGATACCCAAGCGTTAGGACAGCAGCCTGCATTTCCTGGGGGTGCCCTCAAGAGATGAAACCTGCAGTTGTGTCTAAGCTGAGAGAAACAATTGTTTTCTATCTCTTACATATTCAGTTTAACGGAAGAACAAGGCAAGGGCATATTGGGTGTTTCTGTGGAGTTTCTGGGTTATTTTCCCCTCCTTGTTCTCTACATGGAGTGACTATGTGCTGGAAGGTTACTTACCTTCCTCTGGAAATCTGCAGGCAGTTTACTGAGCTGTCCCTGTGGCTTAATTTATGTTGGGGAAAACATTCAGGCCATTAAAGGTAAGAGATTCTGAGCACAAACTGCTATAAGATATTGAGAGCACAAGAATTCTCTGGTTGCATTTTTTTTTCTTCCTTGTATTTTAAGCACACTTCAGCAAATGTATAAGAAGTAAAAGAACAGTAAAGGCTCCAAGGACTGGAAACCTCAAAATATTTTTTCCATTGGGAATCTTCCAGGGTATTAGTCCTGTGTTCTGTCTCTTCTGTGAAATATACACTGCTAATAAATACCTTACATGCAAATAAAAGCCACCTCTTAATTTTAAAAATAACTTTGTGAACTGATCCATTGGTCTCTGGTATATATTTTGCTCAAGCATTTTTACTCCCACTTTTCTGTCTGAGTGCTGTGGTGTCCTGGAGATTGACTCAAGGTATGTTTGTGCTCTTATTCTAGAGGGCTGCTGTTCCAAAAGGAAGATGTCATGTGAAAAAAGATGACATTTTACATCTCAAGGTTATTTGCTCTTATTTCCTGAAGCGAAGGGTAGGGATTTAATTTTGTTCTTTTGTTTGGTAAGAAAGAAAATTCTGTTTATTTCCAGAGAGGCACATAGGTGTTTACTGAGGAGAAGGGACAGCAAAAATATATTTTGCATCTTTATCGCCCCAGTCTTGCCACCTCCAAACCTTGAGCACTCAAAGTCACTGCTGTGCCAGAGTAGTTAAAAGGTTCCTTCTTTCTAAGTCAATGCCTTGATATCACTGGGAGATCGAGGGGTGGTTAACATTTACTTGTTTCCTTGCCTAATGTTGGAACAATTTTCTCATTAAAGAGACAGAGAATAACCAAAGCTTTGGAAAGAATTCCACCAGTTCAGGAAAATTTGTAAAAGACTTAAAATAATAAGTGTTCTCAGCCCAAGAAGATATAGACACATCTATAGACAGAACTGTATCAGTAGAAACAATCAGACTTGTTATCTAATTCTCAGAGGCGTTCTGCTCTTAAGCTTTATTAATTTTAATTAATTTTATAAAGTAGGTGACATTAATGAATTTGAAATATTGTATTAAATAAGCTTAAATGTCTTGTGTTTGGCTCAACTATGTGGAAAAGAACATTAGGGTGAGGAAAGTGGGTGAGGAGAGTCTGGGGAGTTGGTTGCCACCACGTTGTTTTCCTTCCTGGAGCAGAGTCAGTCCGGGAAAACTAGGGAGCAGTTGTGCTCTGTGTAAGGAATACTGAGGGATGCGTTTTCTTAAATAAAGTATACTCTGTACCAAGTAACTGCCGGAATTACGGTTCATGTTCTGGCTGTTGTGTTCTGCCCTGTGCCTGTATCTGCCATAGCCGCTGGAGATTCATCGTCATCGCTGCGAAGGAGACAAATTCCTAATTAAACGCTGCCCCCTGGGGTTTGTGTTTAGAGGCGAGCCAAGTGCATTAATTTAAAGTCACAATTCAAGAAACGCACTTAAATATCATCTTTCAAAGTCCCCCGCGTGACGTCACCTCTCTTGGTCCCGCCCACTGGTGGTGACGCGTCAGGGTCGGGTCGCCATCTTGGCCAATCAGCGAGGGCGATACCCGGAAGTGAAACCGCGTCCTGGAGCCCGGCGGCGCCGCGAGTTGCCACGGCAACGGCCGGCAGGATGGTAACGGGGCACCGTGAGGGGAGCGGGACTGGGGCGGCATGGCGAGGGGAACCGTGAGGGGAGCGGGAGTGGGGCGGCATGGCGAGGGGCACCGTGAGGGGAGCGAGACTGGGGCGGCATGGCGAGGGGAACCGTGAGGGGAGCGAGACTGGGGCGGCATGACCTGGGGAACCGTGAGGGGAGAGAGACTGGGGCGGCATGGCGAGGGGCACCGTGAGGGGAAAGAGACTGGGGCGGCATGGCGAGGGGAGCGAGACTGGGGCGGCATGGCGAGGGGCACGGTGAGGAGAGCGGGACTGGGGCGGCATGGCGAGGGGAACTGTGAGGGGAGCGGGACTGGGGCGGCATGGCGAGGGGAACCGTGAGGGGAGCGGGAGTGGGGCGGCATGGCGAGGGAGACCGTGAGGGGAGCGGGACTGAGGAGTGGGATCGTGAGGGGAGCGGCATGGGGAGCGGGACTGTGAGGGGAGAGAGAGTGGGGCGGCATGACCAGGGGAACCGTGAGGGGGGCGGTGGGGAGCGAGTCCCCGCGGCTGTCCGGCGCCACCGCCCCGCCCTTGCCGCCCGCAGGCGTCCGAGGAGCGGGAGTGGGGCAGGCGCACCGCCCGGCTGCGGGCCGAGCTGGAGCGGGAGCGGCGGCTGGATGAGGCGCTGCGCGCGGTAAGAGCTGCGGGGCAGCCCAGGGAGGGGGAAGGCTGAGGAGAAAAGTTGGCCTGGCTTTACCTTTGGCTGTCAAAAGCTTTTCCCTTTAACAATCATTTACTGAGTTGTAAAGTCTTGCTTGACTGCACGGTCTCCTTGCCTTCTCCCAAATGTGCTCGTGCGAGAGTTGGTACGGAGATTGTTTGTTCTCATCAGGCAGAAGAGAACAGAAAGCAAAGAGCTCTGCAGCTGGAGCGAGAGCAAAAGCTGGCGGCTGAGCTGGCGAGGCGGGACCTCGAGAAAATTAAAGATGAGAAGATCAGGCAACAAGTCAGAGCAAACAGGTAATTCAGAAATTTCCCAGCTGTATCAAATTGGCTGCTCCTATTATCAGATTTGGGAAAGCTGTAGCAGGAGTGGAGACAACTCAGACCTGGAAGTAAAAGTTACTTTGAGATCAAAGTATTATAATAATTTGATTTAAAAAAAAAAATTGTCAATAAAAAAGGTTGATCCACAATATGTATATTATATGTACAATATATGTATATGTACAATTTGGCATTATCTGTGAGCATACACATGTGTATGTATCTGTACTTGTGCTTATATACTTAGAAGTGAAGTATGCAGAACTGTAGGTAGCACATGTAGAAATATAGGTAACTCTTATTTTTAAATGATTTTTTTTTCTTTTTCTGCTCTTTAACTAGAGCAATATTTTTTCATCAGGGTTACCCCAATGAAAAATACTGTGTTTAAATACTGATGGAAACTTAATTTCTTCCTCTAGATACCGACCCCCTTGTAATAGGATAATTTTTTTTTCCCCTCCAGTCTTGAACTTCGAGAGTTAGAAAGAAAGCTGAAATCTGCTTATATGAATAAAGAACGAGCTGCACAGATTGCTGAAAAAAAAGCTATATACAATGAGAAAATGGTAATTAGTGCATCTCAGCACCTGAGTCCCATAACTCTGTATAGATTGTGTAGAAGATTTTTCCTTTGACCTTTTTTATCGAAAATATTGTTCGAGCATTCAGTGTTATTAAAAATATTTTTTTTGTTATGAAGGATTAATTAACCAGTAATAACTAGCTATAATAAAAAGGTTTACTTTGCCATTGCAATTGAAGGAGTAGTGATTTAGTGATTGAATTAGCTGTATGACTGGTTATAGCTGTTATTTTACTGGTTTTGTAGTATTTATCCAAGTCAAAACTATGATACCCTTTGTACAGTAAGTGTTTACAGTGGTGAATGCTTACCTTAGAGTCTGGTTGTTGAAAACAATGTTACTCTTTCCAGTGATCTGGGTTACTTCAGAAAGACTTGCAAATTTATATTTATCTATAGAAAGGTATTGGTGATCAGGCAGATGATTCTGATGATGTTAATGCTTTATACTGGGCTCAGTGCAGGCAGTTGCTGTACAGCAATGTGCTCATTGAAGGTGTTCTCTGTAGCCCAGCCTCATTCCAGTCATTGTGCTGATGTGAGTGAGTCCCACCTGTGCTCAAATGCTCAATACTTTGTTCTTTAAGTATTTGTAGTGCACCTCAAGTTGGTCAGATCTTGCAAGTGCCCTTCAAGGGTTCTACTGACTGCATTAAGCTATTAAGCGTGTTAAGGCTCTATATTTATAGATTGAGTTGGAAGACTTTCATTTCTAGTAATCCTGCATAATTCCTTTCCACACTGTGTATTTTTTCATTACAAGCTGTAGTAGCAAGAGTGAAAAGGAATTTTGCGTTGCCTTTTTTCCCCTAGAAATGGGAGGATGAAGTAGCCCAAGAGATGAAGGAAGAGTATGACAGGTATCTGAAAGAAGAAATGTCTGCAGAACTGAGGCGAAACCAGGAGAAGAAAACGTACCATCAAGAACTGGACAAACAGGTTGAGGAACAGGAGAAGAAGAAGCAAGAAGCTTATGAAGAGTTTCTAAGAGAGAAACGTATGATTGATGAAATTGTAAAAAAGATCTATGAAGAAGACCAAATGTTAGTTACTTCGAATTTTTATCATTTATTAATTTAAAACAAAGCAACTCATACAATTCTGCACAGAAAGCTAATTTGTATGCACCTATTCCAAATACACTAAGGCCCATTTTAGTTTCCCTTGGTCACATTTTAGTAACAAGAGACTGACTTGCATGAATGTTCCTATTAAAACCTCAGATTGTCACAGTCACTCTCATGTCCTTGTTCCCCAAATATGAAATCCAGCGTATTTGCAGGAGGGCTTCTGTTGACCCCATCATGTTGAACACAACAGCATATTAGATATTTCTGCCTCTCCTTGTGTCCCTGCCTTGCCACCAGATGCTTTGTTTTCATGTCTTGGGAACAGGGCAGTAAGTTTCTGAGGGCAAGGTCTTGTGGCGGGGGGGGGGAGAGTTTAGTGTAAATAAAAAATGTAGGGGTTGTGGTGCTATTGGGCTTTCTTTTCTTCTTTCTCTTTGATGGGCATGTATAAAATGCAGCAGTGTGTACTTTGGTGTACAGTCTGCCTTCCAGAAAGGTGTTAGACATGAGATTCCCTTCTTGGGCAGTTTATTACTAAGTGTTTTCAATTTAGCTATCTAGTTTCTGGCTGAATGGTTAAAGAGAGTAATTTAAATCATAGTCTCAGGAATATGTTGTTAATGGTGAGCATCTGGTTAAATGTTACTCTGCAATATGTTAAATAATTATTTGAACAGGTTTTTTGCATCTTCTACAGGGAAAAACAACGGAAGTTAGATAAAATAAAAGAAACTCAGACATATATTGAAGAGTTTATAAAAGAACAAGCTATCTGGAGGAAAAGGAAACAGGAAGAGATGGAAGAAGAAAATAGGAAAATTATGGAGTTTGCCAACATGCAACAACAAAGAGAAGATAGTTGGATGGCTAAAGTTCGAGACACTGAGGAGAAAAAACAGAGAGTTCAAAACATGGTATCAAAAATTGAAATTGTAGAAAATATTGTTGTATGTTTTTGTATTTCATTTAGAAACCTTTCCTTCTTGTAATAGGTTGCCAAGACCATGGAAAGAGAAGAACAGAGACGTAAAGAATGGGAACAAATCCGCCAAGATCTGTATCTGGAAGAACAAGAAGAGATGGAAAGGAGGAAGGAGATGGTAAGTGCTGACAGGTACATGAAGGGGTTTTTTTCCACGCTTTGAATTTCTAAGTCTGCAGTGTTGTTTGTGACTTTGGGGTTTCCAGTTATGTTCTAGCACAAAGTACTTATTTTCAGCTCTATTTTCTAAATGTTCTCAGCTAGGCAGTTTATAGATTAGCTTAGGTTTTGGAGGGAAAATTTTGTACTTTGAGTTTCCTTTTCTGTTCCTAATGTATTTAATTTCAACCAGAAAGGCAAGTGAAGATTCTGAATACCTCTTATGGCCTCATTTATTCATTTATCTTGTGAAGGAGAGTATCAGAAACTTTCAAGTTTAGATTTAAGCTAAGCAGTTTAATTAACTGGGTTTTTTTCTGCATGTCTATTTCCTATGGGCCTGGACACACTCCATCTTACCTTGCTGTGGGTGACAAAATGTAACACAGGTTGAGATTCCAAACACTGCTATTTTTAGAGTGTTGTTCAGGATGACTGTCTTGTTGATTCCCTTCATCATAGCAGGAAAAAAAAAAACATCCCCTTTGGTTTTTGACTTAATTTTGAGAATCTTGTGACATTTGCCAAGCTGATTAGTACTGGCAAGCACTGTCAAATATGGAATGTTTGCTCCAGTTAGTTATGCTAGTAAGTTAAGAGATACAGTAAATTTATTCCAAGATAAATGGAGTATATTGGCTGCTGCTGCTGAGAATTTTTCAAATTATTTTCAGTAATACTGCATTTTACTAAATTTCCTTTATAGGCAGAAATTGAAAAGAGAATAAGGCAGCGCCTCGACTTACAGCAAGCATACGAAAAGCAACTTGCTCTAAAGGCAGCAGCACAACAAGCTATGAGAGAAGAGGAGGAAGCTCTCCGGCAGCGGATTTTGGCCAAGCTGGCCGAGGAAGATCGCATTGAGCAGCTGAACGCGCAGAAACGGAGAATGAAACAGCTTGAACACAAAATGGCTGTGGAAAAAATTCTTGAGGACCGTCGCAAACAGTGTATTGCAGAAAAAGTAAGAGTTTGACATGCGCCTTTGTTTGAGCACAGTGTTTAAGATGGGAATACTTGTGCTATCCTAAGGAACAATGCTGGTGTTGGTAGGGAAAGGTGATAGGAATTGCAGAGAATAGCAGAGGGAACTAGGACTTTATTTTGGTTTCTAACAAGAAAAAAGTATCTTTAGAGCTAACTTTTTTGTAGCTCAGGAGGTTGGGGTCACAACATTCCTGCCCTCCTGTGTAGCTGTGTACTGCAAATACCTCTTCAGGAGCCATGAGATCAGCAACACCACTGCTGTCCAGCTCCACATCCCTGGTCAGCTGCATTGATAATGACACGTGAGCAGGGGAAGGCCTAGCCTGGCTTTGAAGTTAAGTCTCTTTTATTGAGATCGGAGGAGGAAAAGGTGTAAAGTGAAAGCAAGACATGGAATCCCATACTGCTGTTTTCAGACCTGTGTATAGGGTATAAATCACCTGTGTAACATGAATTGCAATTTCCAGCCATCAGTGTGAGAATTCATACCTGTTGTTCCTTTTCCTGGATTAGAGCAGTTGGGCTGGAACAGACTAACTTGTCTGACAGCCAAAAAGCCGCCAGAACTGAACATTGCCTGCCTTCAAAAGGGCTTCTGACACCAAACACTTGGATAGCAGACTCACCCCATGACCTGCCATTCAGTTTTCTCTTTTGTCTGAGATTGTTTTCCAATTGGCAGACGGGTATTGTTTAAACAATGCTTTGTGGGGTTTTCCATACATTTTTCCATCCTTCTCAAGAGAATTTCCTGTGACCAGGAATGAATATGTGGAAGTTCAAAATTTACTCAGCTGAAATTTTTTCTCTTTATGCTGCTGTGGAGAGTGGTGGAAACAAATGTTCACTGAGCTGAAACAGATCTTAGGAAAACTTGTTAAAACTTGTTTATTGTAGGAGCGTGAACTTGAAGAAAGAGAGCTAGAGAAGAGAAGACAAGAAAGTATCCGTGCAATTATTGAAGAGGAGAGACAGAAACTCTTGAAAGAGCATGCATGGAAATTGCTGGGTTATCTTCCTCGAGTAAGTGAATTGTATTTTAAATACTTTTAATGTCTGTCCTGTAAATTGGGTTTCTCCTGGATAGTTCAGGTTGAAGTTGCAGAACTGTGGCAGTTCCTGGAGTCAGTGGATGTCCTTCCTGTGTCAGCTCACCTGCATTCACCTCTTCCTTTTGCTTTTGGGCTCTCTGGCACTATTGATGCCTTGCACAGAATTCGCTGAAAGCTTCCACAGCACTTTGCACATCCAGTATTTGAAATATGGAACCTGAGTTCTACAGCAGGGCTTCTCTAGCTAGAAAGGAGTCCACCACATCTTAAAACTTGTTTCCACCAAATTTCTTGGTTGGGGTTTTGGCAGCAATTTCTTGCAGCTCTCTGGCTTGTCTGCCAAGTATCCCATAACTATGAACTCTGTAGCAGTGCAATCAACTGTAGCATTTACAGAAGCATTGCAGAGCTTGCTTTGTTCATCCCTGTGTTTTTAAAAGTTAAAAAGATGGAAGCAGTTATTGCAATAGGAATAAACTACAATTTATTTTGTATTGTCCTTCATAATTGCAAATATCTCCCAGTGGTACACAAATAAACTGAGAGCTGCCTTAGGGATGTAAAAATGCATTTACAGTAGAGAGGGAACTATGCAGCTGGTAAAGAAATTCTGCAATACTGGAAAACGTTAAGTACAGCAGAGTTTAACTTTTATTCAAATATTACTACAATAATTGGTGCAGGAATTTGTAACACTTGGAGTAAGTTGCTCTCTAATGTGGGTTTAATTAAAGGATAACACATATTGACAAAATTTTGATAAACCTTTCTGGTTTGAATTTGCTGTTGTAGGAAGCCTTGGCAATTTCAGTGTCCAAGGCTCACAAGTGTGCCATGTATAATGTTCTACTTTTCTGTTCTCTGCTTCAACACTGTGTCTTGAGTTGGGTATTCTCCTACACCACATTACTTGACTCAAAATGGTTAAATAGCAAAGTGCTACCAAACAGGAAACTTTCCAATATAAATTTGCAGTTTGTAACTTTTTTCCTCTTTTTTAAATGCTGCAAGGTATGTTCTGTGGATCATACATATTTTTAGCAGTAAAATCAATTTAGAATTAATTAGAAATGTAGATTTTTGCATTAACCTTCTCTTCCCAAAAACATTGTTTTTGATTAAGTTGTCCAGCACTACTTGGTTTCCCAAGTTATTTCTTTGTATGACTTAATTCCAACACAGGTAAAGGGCGAGACAGAGCCCCAGCCCAGCCAGGGCCTCTTTTCACTGCAATTGCTTGATTTTACTAAACCTGCCCCTGTGCTGTACTGACTCTAATCACTCCTGTGAGCAAGAGAATGCAGCTAAATGTTGTCTTTTGGCAGAAAAAAAAAAAAGGGGCACCAATTTGTAACTCACCCGTTCAGGTTTTGTGATGGTTTTCAGGTTGCTTTAAAGGTAACATAGTATTATGGATACCATTATGGATACCACATTTTTTTCCACAGAAAATTTCAGAGATCCATAGTAATTTCTCTGCTCTGTTTTCTCCGATGTTTCTTTCCTGTTAATGCAGGGAATACTCAAAGACGAAAACGACATTAACATGCTTGGAGAAGATTTCAGGTTGGCTTACCAGCAGAGAAGAGGTAATGAACTTTCAGAAGAGAGCTGAACCTTCCCCCAGCTCAGCTCCTGCTTTGCCACTAGGTGTCATCTGATTCCCAGTGAAAACTTCCATTTGCTTTTAACAGTGAGGAATTCCTTTTTAATAGCATTAACAGCCTTCATTTTAAAATCAAAGTTCTAAACGGATGAGCAGTTAGTTTTATAGAAGTGTGTGCTCCACTTGCATTTTTCACCAATAAACTGTTCTGGAGTTCTCAATTATTCTCAGTCACGTAGTAATGTTAGAAATGCTTTCTTCAGCAACACAGCAGAAACCTAACCTAGCATGTGTATTCCAGTCTGGACTAAAGGATTCTCCTAATGCACTAGTTCTGGGAAGATGTGGCTGCACTGGCATTACACTACTACAATCCTCATTCAAATGTAGTGTGTCTCATCTCCACGAGGTAGGTCTGAGGTACTTCACTGGTAGGATCTAAGCAGATATGTTGTATCATTCGGAGGTCAGAACTACTGTTTCTACTTTTCTTTCAGTGCATAAACTGACTGGTTTTGTCCCATGTCCTTACTCACTTACTCTGAGGGTTGAATCCATTGAAATAGCTGAGATGTGGCAGAGGTTCATGTAAGCAGCACAGGCTTGTATTGCTCCTGTTCATTATTGTACACACAATAGGCTCAGCTCATCTACCCTGAATCTGTTTTCTAGTTATTGATTACAATGATGAATAATTAAATTTTTATGGATGTGATGCTTGTAGAGCACCTGCGAATATGGAGTCATTGCTCCTGCCTGTAACCCAAAGAAGCAGCTGATGGCCAGGGAAAGGTTTCATACTTTCACCTTAACTGAAGGAACAGTTTTACACAATACAGCTCCATGGGACTGTGGAGTCTGTCTGGGCAATGAAGGGCAAGTCTCATGTATGGTCATGCCAGCCAGGGGCGCTAAGATGTAATTGCTAGAACAGGTTATGGTCGTTCCTATGAAAGAGCTGTTGGTGCTTAAATTAGATGCCAGACCAGCTAGCTTTGAGGGGAGATCTGTTACAGAGAACAGACAAGGCCAATTTTCCAACCACGTGTTTTAAAAAGGACATGACATTTTATTCTCAACTGGATCACTGGTTAGTTTATTTCTGTTGCAACAAGGAATTTTCTGAGACTAAATCCTGACTTCCTTGGACTGAATATGACCATAGGTAAGGTACAGTTTTAAATGCTAGAACAGAGCTCACTTGTTGGAATATTCCTTGCATGGTCTGTGCTTCTCTGCTCCTTACAGAATGGGCAGTTTGGCTTGACAGTGAAGTAGAAATTTGTGTTTTTATACGACATTACAACACAAGCTATCAGGCTTACAAAAGTTTAACTATTTAAACATAAGAAAAATCAACAAAATCAATTCAGTGGGATAAACAGTTATAAACTATTAACAAGGAGTCATATACAGTCTCAAAATAATGTACCATCTGACTCCTCTTTCAGATAGGAGTTATTTAATGGGATCAACATTTTCCCCACTCAAGAGCTTTCATGAATTCCTCTTCGGTAAAAGAAAGCATCTTGGCAGCTTCAATGTGCATCTAAAAAAAAAAGTGAGCAGAAGGTAAAATAGTGTGAATGACCAATACAAAATCCTGGCTAACTAGGATATTCTATGGGTTTTAATAAAGCACAGAAATTCCTGAAAATCTGACAATTCTTGTGACTTCTGAAGAACATATGTAAGAAAACTGGTCCACATTCTTTCAAGCTGATCAATATACAATTTAACATTAAAGCTATTACAAAGCAAATCTCATCCTATTCCTGATATTTAATGTATTTGGGGAAATTTTCCATCTGTCATTCTTCAGGCTCTGTCTGCTCTGTGCATATGAACCTGCCACACAAATATTACACAAACAGCCTAAATCAGGTTTTTCTAATTAATTCAACAAAAGGCCTGTTTGAAGCAGACTTGAAGTCCTTCCACTGATTGTGAATACTGAGCACATGTGAGCTTCAGCTGCCCTTCCCCAGTGCCTTCTGCCAGAAGCTGCAAGGGGCAGGGTTAGCCCCAGTCTCTTCCATGTTCCTCCAGTCACAGTCTCTTCAGAAAGGACAACTCACAGCATCCTTCTTCTGTAACACTTTTTGTGAGAAAAGGTAAGTGGCTTTCTCTCATACCTGCAGTTCTGATACAGCATTTGTAATTGCTTAAAAATGTATTTAATGCAGTTTGTAACATTTGTCTGAGACCATGAGTTTGGTTCCCAGTCAAACAGAAATGCTGCTCTGTGACACCCATTTCAGTAAATTCATGTTCCAGAGGACAATGAGCTACCTCATCTGGAAGAACATATTTTGAGTGAATGCTGTGCAGTTGTCTTTCTCGAAATAAAATTGCAGAGCTAGAAGGGCCAGCCAAAGGCTAAGCTAGCAGAGTTTCTTTTAGGTGAATCCTCAAGATCTCTGCGTCCTGTTGCTGCCAGAAAAATTCTCTTGCACTGGAAATACATAAGCAGCCCTACTTCCTCTTGTTCCACTTACCTGTCCTCCTTTGCCCTGCATTGGGGTGGTATTCCAGATTCAAGAGTGTAGTTTCATATTGCAATTCCCAGTTCTTAGGCTCAGGGTGCAAAATACACAACTTAAGTTGCCACTTCATACAGAACTATTCTTCCTCTTGGGGCTCAACAGCTTCAGAAGTGTTTACTGAATGTCTGGTGATCACTGAGTACTCAAAGGGTAAATAAAATGTTCTACTTTCTTATCTCTAAGGCTGACCCTTCTTAAAGGGGGTTCTGCTCAAGAAGACACCATACATTACTTGCTTTAGTTGTCTTACAGCTTTGGTTTGAGAGTGCAAGAGGTGCATTGACTCCATCCCAAAATGAATCCCATAAGATTCAGCAGAGTAAGCAATTGGAGGTCATCCACTCTCGTGTTAAGGTCCTGTCCAGGTCATAGCTCTACATGTCTCATGCAGCCTCAGAAGGAAAACTGACAGAAACGACTGCACACATCCCAAGTATTTTAAGTGAGAAGTGTGATGGAACTAGTAAGTAGAAAATCATTTGATTTGGGCAATATCTCTTAGTATACAGTCCTGTCATTTTAATTTCCTTCCATGTAAACTCACAGTTTTCAGGATTTTTTACTGGACAATGCATTTAGCTAGAGGTTGTTAACTGAAATACACCCATAGTCTGCTCCTTACCTTTTGTCTTTTCAAAATATCAATTAACTTTAACTGCTTTTTAAAACCTGTAATTAGTTCTCCTTTTTGTTTCTGCAGTTTCTTGTTTTCTGTTTTTAATTCTTCAATCATTTTGAGTTCTTGGTTAGCTACATCCTACCAAGGGAAGAAAAGGAAAAACATTATTTCATTAATTATGAAAATGGTGCTTTAACCAATGAAACCTGGCATTACATAAGAAAATGACAAACAGTAGCCGCACATGACACTTCTGAAAAGAAACAGGACTAATCAAAATACTCCCACATTAAATCTTAAAAAGAAAAGAAAATCTTGGCAATAAGAGCTGTGGTTTGCCGTTGTACGTGTTAGGTGTGTATGTGTACTTCTCCCTCTTTCTAAACATGTCTCATTTTCACACAAATGAGGAAAATCAGAAAGGCTTTAACTTCATTCTGTACATTTCTTCTTCCTGCAGAGGTTGCAGTAGTATCCTCTAAGATAACTTATTGAGGCGTTTTGTGACTTGCTCCAAGTTAATTCTGGGGCTGCCTCTAAGAGATACGAATCTTCCAAAGCCCATCAAGCTTTTTGTCTCAATTTAGCATTACTGAGTGATTACAGACTGGAAATTGCTTTCCTAAGCCATAGTACCTTGTTCCTTTGCTTCAGTTTATTCAGCTCTACTTTATACTTCTCCACTTCTTCCAAGGCCCTGTTTAAACGAACCTCTGTTGCATTCCGAGTGGCTGCAGCCTGCTTTTGGGCACGCTTCAGACTCTCCAATTCCTATTTAAGAAGCAAAGGACAAACCCAATAAAAACATCATGAATAATGGTGTTCTAATGAATCCTGTATCAACAACACACAAAAAGGCTCACCCTTGAAAGCTGAAGAGTCTGTGAACTTCTTTTGCCTGTAATAGAATCTATCTCAAAGACAATACTGCCATTAAAACAACCCCTTCTCCTTTGAAATCTTGAAAAAGGATCCTTCTCATCTTTATTTTTTTTAAGCTTCTCTTGGGGTAAATTGTGAAGCTGATCATCTAAGACTGAAAAACCTTGTATAATCAGTCAGAAAAAGAGAGAACAAATCACTGTGTCCACTCTGTGACAGACTTTGAAATGGTGGCTCATGTTCTCAGCTGCTTCTTCCCACCCCCTCCTTTCACCTCTTTGCCCTAGAGATGACTACATGCAATTACCACCAAGAAGTTAAAGCAGCCTACTGCAGATGGCTGAGGGTAATAACTATTTCATCTGGCAGAAAATAGTTCATCGAGTGTTGTGGCACCAATCAAAGCAGTTGTCTCTTGACTCTGCTGACAGTATTTCATAGTGCTGAAAGTGGGGAAATGAAAGAAACCAACTTGAGGAACAGAAGAGTAAGACTAAAGATCAGGAAATATAGATAACATACAAAGTAAAAGAAATAAACAACTCTAGCAAAAAGAACACAGCTTGTGTTTTATGAAATAGACTTTTTCTTTAAAGTATGAAATTTTTAGTAATGGGCACAGGAAATTTCTTTCAACCAGATCAAGGTCGAGATGGGGCCCTCAGACTGCCTTGTTCCTGAGCAACTGTTCTATTTTCTCAAGTCTGCACCTGTTCTGTGGTGGTTACTCAAGACTTCCACATCATTTATCCAAGAAATACTTTTTGTCTTGTATCAAGATGATGGACTTGTGAATGAAGTCTATTACGTCTTTTTTATTATGTATTTTATTCTGCATTAATATGAAAAGCTTTGGAATAGTCTTTCAAGCATTTAAAGACCAAAAAAATAGTCTACATGCAATGCAATTACTTATCAGCTAATCAGATCATTTAA